CACCCCCCCCACCCACCAGGACCCCCCCAACCTCCCAAATAGTGCCCACCCCCCCTACCACACAGTGCCCACCCCACCTACCACACAGTGTCCACCCCCAGCTAACACATGGTTAGTGAGAATCTCACGGAAAGGATATGCAAACTCACAGGAAAGTGTAAAAAGAGAAGCAGGCTGCATAAGGCTCAGAAGTAAAGGAGCTTGCAGCCAAGGCAGATACCCTGACCTTGATCTCTAGGACCTACATGGTAGAAGGAAATAACCAACTCCATCAAGTTGTTCTCTGACCTATGTCCTCTGACCTACACACACACACACACACACACACACACACACACACTAAAATGTACAAATTTTAGAAAGTATTTCCCAGAATACTGACAAAAGGGCCAATTTCTTTAAATATTACTCCATGATACCTTCTGAATGTCCCACAGGGCACTGTTCTTACACTCTGAGAAGTTGTTGGAGCTTAGGGAGGTTAAGTGACTTGCAGGGGCTCACACAGCTGGGCCAGGGTTCACCTTGGGCCTGTGTGTTAAACACGAGGTTCTTCAGAGTCATACTCTCCACAATAGGACCATTCCCTCGTTTCCTGCTCTTTCATCAGCATCCTCAAGGATCCAAAAAGCAAGAGCCTTTGTTTTCTCACACAAAGTTGCTATGGAGACACTGTGTGCATCCATCTCTAGAGACCCACAAAGCAGCAGGAGCCATGAGCCTCAGGATTTAAAAAAAGAAAAAAAGAAAGTGTCCTTCCAGAATGCTGAGTACAGCTACAGTCGTATTCTCACCATGAATCTCCCACAGATCATGTGTATCACACCCTGGCAGTGGGGCCATCCAGTGTGGGGGTGGCGGGACACTGGGGCACCCACTCTGGCTCATTCCTTTCTGCGACTTTGGACAAGCCCTTTCTTCTCCTCACCTGACTTCAGTTTACCCCTCTATAAAGTGGAGATGGGGACAGCAGTCCCCCATTGGGTTTTTGGTATGTGTAGACCTCATCAGTAGCAGGCAGTGTTCCTGAGAGAAATCTTGTCGATGGAAAAATCAGGCGGAGTGGAACACAGCAGGGGGTGGTGAAGTCTGTGGCAAAATGAAGCACAGCCAAAGGGAAGGCAAAGAGACTCATAGTACCACATACAAATGGAAACCCAGGCAGGGTTCATTATTTTGAACAAAAGCCAAACACTCAAGTCTTTTCTAAAAAAGTCTTCAAATATGTAAAAAAAAAAAAAAAAAAAAAAAAAAAAAAAAAAAAAAAAAAAAAAAAAAAAAAAAAAACGTGGATGGCTAAGTATTTCTCCCCATGGCATCCAACCCCTGCTTCTTAGAAAGCATAAGGATTCACTCAGGGGAAACTTCCCCTATTTAAAAAAAAAAAAAAAAAAGCCATCCCTCCAGAGGCAGAACATGGCAGCTGGGTCACATCACTCCTGACCAAACTGTGAAAGCCAGAAAGGCACCTGGGGACTTAAGTCAGGGAGAGTCGGTTCAATAAAGGGCAGACAACACACTGAAGCCCGTTACGTCTGTCTCCCCCAACATTTTATCTTCCTGACGCTCTCAATTAATCAGAAGTGTCAGCCCTTCACTTAGGTCCCCTGGCTGGGGTGGCTAATTGAATGTTAATTAATGAGGACTTTAAGAGCACAAGATGGAATCCCAGCTCAGGGAAGGATGGCAGTTACAAAGGTCCTCTTTCAGCCACCTCAGTCCGTCCCCACTTTTTATAAATGAGGGAACTGAGGCAGAGTGATCCAGTCCCTTGGCTCTGAGCCCAAGGCTCCTTGCAAGACCCCGGGGTTGCTCCCTGAGACACAATCTTATAAACCTTCAACATCAGTGTTGGCCTAAGGAGTCTGGTCTCCAGAGCCAGGGACTCAGAAGTGGCTGCTGAAGCAGGAGGGGTGACCTCTGCATGTATGTGCTATCCTTGAGCTCTGGCATCCTCTCTCATAGGGAGTAGGGGGTGTAGAGTGTCCTGTCAGGCTGACAAGCTCCTGGCCAACCAGCAAAGTCAGGACGAGGAACGCCTCCTGACTGATGAAAGCTCTCGCTGCTGAGTTCTTCCATCATTTGTAGCCCATGCACTGCCTTGGAAAAGTGGATAAACCCGGTCCAAACTCCAGTCCCCCAGCCTGTTGCATGCTAAAACCGCCTTCTGTTTATGCAAAAGAAAACTTGGAGAAGTGATTGCAAAGCAAAGGAAGAAATGGGAGGCGAGGCTCCACAGCCTTAGTCCTTTCCCTTCCCTCGACTTTGACCTTCCTCTGTGCAAACAAGAAATCCCTTCCCGCTTCTAAGGCAGGGATGTCCCACCTATACTCAAGGCCCTAAAACATCACAACACCTGTGCTCCCTTCCGTGCAGTTGACTCTGGAAGCAAACCTGCTGAGTGTACTTCTCCCCACCTAGTGTCATGGTGTTAAATCTTGATGTGGCCCTCAGGATCCCCTCTGCTTCCTGCCACCCTCCTTCCTAGGACATTAAACAAATATGACACCAATCTGAGTCTTCTAAGCACTTTCATTTTAAAAGCTCTCAAGGAGCTCTTCCTTCCCCCTCCACCGGCCTGCCTCCTACAGAGGTGAGTGTACCCTCTGCTCCTGCCTTATTCCTGCTCAAGGTCCCCATCACCCTGGATCTCTCTGGGCCTGCACCCCCAAAGAGTGGACCCGCCCAGACAGGGAGCATCTCCCTGAGTCTGGAAACACCTCACTCTTCTTTCCCCATCTGCCAGCCGGACCTCTACTGAGAGCGGACCTGCCCAGACAAGGAGGATCTCCCTGAGTCTGGAAACACTTCACACTTCCTTCCCCCCTCTGCCGGCCCAACCTCTACTGAGTGAGGAGACGACCAGGAGAGGCAAGACATCCAAAGCTGCAGACATTGAAGTCTTGGCCCGAACACACCACTGGGTGACAAGAGGAGATAGAGAGACCCCACTGGCACCCACAGGAAGAAGACATGGGAAGAACACAGAATAAGAACACACTCAACAACAGAAAGACCAATATGACACTACCAGAATCTAGGGACTCCACACCAGAAAGTTCTGAAAAGTCCAGTGCAGAGGATGAAGAAGTGATGGACCTTAAAAATTATCTTAGGAAGATAATAGAGATCTTTTAAAGAGGAAACAATCCCTTAAAGAAATAGAAGAAAACACAAGCAAAAAATTACATGAAATGGAGGAAAAGGCAAACCAAAAAATTCAAGAAATAATCAAATCTCTTAAAGAATCTAAAGAAAGCCAAGAAAAAACAACCAAACAAGTGAAAGAAGCACTTAAAACAGTTCAAGGCATGAAAGATGAAACAGAAACAATAAAGAAAACACAGAATGAGGGGATGCAGGAAATAGAAAGGCTGGATAAACTATCAGGAACTAAAGATGTGAGTATAACCAATGGAATTCAAGAGATGGAAGAGAGAATCTCAGTTGTTGAAGACTCGCTAGAGGATATACAGTCATCGACCAAAGAAAATCTCAATTCCAGCAAAGCCCTAACACAAAATATCCAGGAAATATGGGACACTGTGAAAAGGCCAAACATGAGAATAATAGGTATAGAACAAGGTGAAGAAATACAGCTCAAAGGTACAGAAAACATATTCAACAAAATCATAGAAGAAAACTTCCCCAGCCTACGGAAGGATATGCCTATGAAAGTACAAGAAGCTTACAGAACACCAAACATACTGGACCACAAAAAGAAGTCCCCTCGATACATAATAATCAAAACACCATACCTACAGAATAAAGAGAAAATATTAAGAGCAGGAAAGGAAAAAGGCCAAGTACCATATAAAGGCAGACCTATCAGAATCACACCTGACTTCTCAATGGAAACTTTGAAAGCCAGAAGGTCCTGGATAGATATCCTACAAACACTAAGGGAGCATGGATGTCAACCCAGACTACTGTACCCACCAAAGCTTTCAATCACTATAGATGGAGAAAACAAGATACTCCATGACAAAACCAGACTTAATACGTTTCCCAAATCCAGCACTACAGAAAGTTCTGGAAGGAAAACTCCAACCCAAGGAAGATAACTACACTCACAAAAACATAGACAAT